ATACGGCTAAACTTTTGGAATTTTAAATATAATCGATCTACTCCTCCCGCCTTGAATATTACTAACCAGTTAATTTTTAATTCTGAAATTTGATAATTTGAACGGAGCGAAATTGAATTCGAATAATATATAAACAATAAAATTAGCACATAACATTTCATCGATCGAACTATCACATATGTTTATCGTACAAATATTTAATTCAATTATTATTATATTCAATATTTCAGTCTGGGTGCAGGTTTTGCCCAATCTCTGATTTAAATAAAGCTAGATACTGCATCTGCATAACTGAGCAATTTAAACCAACAACCTCAACTAAAGTGATTAATGCAGGGAAATGACGATCGGAAAAAGTGTTACGGTGCTCAAAGGGAGTAGCAGCGTGGGGGGGGCCAGTAAAGTTTCGCTGAAATAACCGAGAAATAGGTCTATCGGTGCGTGGATACGTGGGCGATGACGACGCCCCCACGGGAGCCCGATTCATTACCGATCTTGAATAAATGATCGCTCAGGCAGCGCCGACGATTGGCAACGAATAGGCGGCCGGGTAGATACTTTCGAAAAGTGATTATTCGTTCAACGATGTCCCGTCCGGCCAGGAGGAAATCGACCCCCGAGGACGTGCATCGTGGCTGCCAGTGGCGCCATGTATCTCCTTTGCCTGCATCATTGATGATCCAGCCGGTCGAGTCCTCCTCGCGTTTCCGATGCTTCGACTCCGTTCTTCGTATCCGCGCTCCTGTTCGGCGTTTCGCGTCAATACGGTTTAGCCTCCCCCGCGTGTGATTAATCCACGCGTACACGCGACTGGTACCGCCCGAATTTATGACTTTTCGTCGGACGTTTCCCTCTGTCGTCAGAGAGGACGCCTGCAAACGCAATTACATTCTGTTTCACGTGTGCCACGGACGGGCGCTAATTTTCAAGCAAATTGCGATTCATAAAACACGATTCGACGTACTCCAGCGGACTAGGTACTCTCGTAATTTTTCAAGACTCTCGCTTGCTATTCAATTATTAAATGTTCAATCTACCGGGATCGCAAGTTGTGTCACCTGCAGTCACGCGTATCTTTATCATTAGCACGATACATCGCGTTTGAAAGTAGAAACATCGCTGAGAGTCGCCAAACGGCGACGCTTCCTGTGCTCGCCGTCAGATGGCCATGCTCAACCTATCTTTCTCACAAGCTCTCTAAGGCAGAGGTTAGGATTGCCTTACCAATGAATCAACCAGCAGAATCAGGACGAAATTCACTTCTTCTTACATAACACTTTAGAGTTAGAAACTTAAAGTAATAGAAGGGTTGCTAACAATTCTACTGTCAGCACACGGTATCAACTGACATCAGAAGGAAAGAGCAAACGCAATATGAACGTATGCGGCACCCCGAACTCCTCCTCGATGCCTTTAGTCTAATTTGCGGTCGCGTTAAAGTACACCGCGACGGAGGAAGTAAAATGGAACCGTCTCGGTCCGACCCCGTGCATAATTCGAAGGGTGTCCTCGCGGGTGTATCGACGCCTACCTTGGACCACGTAGCAGCCGTAACTCAGTTTCGGAATGGATCGCCTCCTAGGAATACTTTACGCTCGGTGCGCGTCATTCCAAGAGGCGCGAGCGAACTGGATCGTAGATGGCTGTAGATGGAAGGACACAAGGATCTTTAGGTATTCTACGCGTGGTGCGGGATGACTGCATCGGGCTTAACGCGACGTCGAATCCTTCGATGGAGGAGGATCGAACACACCGGGCGCGGAAACGGGGTTGAAGGCGGCGGAAGCGACACCCCTTCGCGCCTGTAGGAAGGAACTGCGAGCATCCGGGTCTGCGGGATAATCATATAAGGATGACTAGGGTCGTGGAAGGTGGCTGGAGTATCAACTTTTGATCCTTCGGTGTCTCGTGCAACGGGCGATCCCTTTCAACGACATCGCGTCGGTATTCAAACGGCTCTAACTCGATATAAGCGATGCTCCCCAAGGCATACTTCCACGGCTACGAGGAGGACGACCCGGAGGACACCTATACACCCCACCCAGAGTCTTCCTCAGCCACTCACGCCCACTCACGAACACTGCGAAATAAGAGTATCCTCTTGCTCGACTGGCGAATTCAATTTGCATCCTGGCTTCTATTTACCGCCCGCCTCTCGTCCCCTCCCTGCGAGGTGATCTTCGATTCCGGCAAAGTCCGATCCACGTCGCGTGACGATCAGGCCAGCCCAATGGAGGTTACAGTCGAAGCGTTGTTTATCGTCGATGAGATGGGACGATCATTCTTGTGAGGATCAACGATCGTGCAATGTTCACGACGAAAACTAGAGAAACGAATATTCAAATTAAAATACTATTCCTGTACAATCTTGGACTGTGATTTTGGAAACGAAAACTGTTTGTACTCAGGATGGTTTGCAAGCTCGTACTCTATCTTGGACAGATAGGTGCCTGCCTAGGTGACAGCTGGACAGGAATGATACTCAAACGACTGATGGTACTATGGTTATGCAGTTTCCGCTGTAACCGACGCGCAGTCTGCTTTATCTACCGAGAACGAGTTTCCTCGGTATAGTAGGAAACGACTGCACCAGCAGACGATAAAGAAGTCTACCTAGAAATCAATATATAGAATTTATTTAATTTGTTCATTTTCTACAACATTATTCAAGACGAAAGGACGCGATTTTAGCGGTTATTTGTAATATATCTCGTAATTATGTAAGAAACGTGTCCGTAAGTAATCTTATCTACTTTATTTTCGTAACGAGGCTGAAATTAGGGCAGGTTAGGAAACGAGAAGACGTTGTATGTCGTATCGTATTTTAATGTTAATCATATCGAAGAGTACGCCGCTGCGTGCTGCGAGAACCACTCCCCTTGGCTTGGTTACGGTTAATAATACTATAAAATGATTAGAAGCCACGTGTTTCCACCAATACGTCTCCCGCAAGAATAATCTTTCGCGTGTCTCGAACATTCGGAAAGATTATTAATCGCGCTTTTACTTTCGTCGATGAGAGAGAGCCAATTCGATGGAGAAACGATCGCGCGAAACGAACGTTCTTGAAGTCGATTTGGCCGTCGACATGTAGCGCAAGAGAGTCGCATACGCTACCAGAACGTAACAAGAACAACAGAAACGTGTCAACGACTTTAAAACGCTAGATGCTCAGACTTTGCTCGAAACCCTAACGATCGGTACAAGGAGACTCTACTGTAAACGGAACTATAACTTGTCGATAATCTATGATCTCGTTGACTCTCTTCCGCCCGTAACTAATCGATCAATGATCGCCTCGTACTTCTTCCCTCTATCTACACGTAATAACAGCGGTAATAATACTCTGATTATACAAACACGGTCGCTACAGCGGTTGTCCTTCAAGCAGACGAACGAACGTTACAGTGAAAATCATCGTAAAATCTTAGTTTTTTACAGCCGTACTCTACCGGATTCGTTTATTATCGCGAACGGTGTTACGAAATGAATTTGTATTATCGGCGTTGTACATCGTGAGACACGTCGAAGAAAAAAAAATTAAAAAAAAATGGCAGCGATATTACGAATCGATGCGATGTATCGGACTCTCGTTGTCGTGGAACATAGCATCGATTCGTGGCGATTGCCTGTCGGCGATGTGCCTCGTGAAAACAGCAACGATCTCGACGAACCTTTTGGCGAATATCTAGGCGACCCCAAGAAATCCTGCGCCCTCCCTGTTCTCTCTTTCATGCGCGTGCTTGTGTGCATCGATTTCGTCTCAGCACGCGTTCGCCACCGTAACGCGGCGAAAGATTAAAAAAAAAAAAAAATATGCTTAGATTCGAGATGTATAGAACTCGAACGAGGATTCATCAAAGCTTAGCAACAAGGTACGTTTCAATAGATGGTAACAAGTTAAAAAGATCGTTAACAAAACCCATGGCGATCCATACAGATTCACCATGGAGAGATTTCGACAACGAATCGCTATGTTCTCGAGCGGGATTAAACTTTAGTTTGGCACTTGCACCCTCGAACGCGAGCCTCCCCTTCTTTCGTTTGCCGCATACTTTCACGTAACGCTACGCTTTCGTTTCGTTTTCGCTCTCCAACCTTCCCTGTTCCTATGTTATACATTTTTCCCTTTTACCACGGTCCACCCACGGTCCTATATAACTCAGGCCTAGCTTCGTTTATCGTTATATCGTTTACGATTTGCGTTTCGTCGCGTTGACCGACGCATCCGTTACGCTAATTTTGGCACAATGTACGTTTCTGTGAAAGACATCGTTGAAAGCTAGGCGCGGATTCGAACGAAACTGGCTGCTCAAAATACACTTCCATTTCGAGTTACCGGGAGGATCTTTCACGGTGTATTATACAGATTCGCATAAATTTTCTGCAAAGGTCCATTTTTATGCTGTACGTCAATTTTTTTAAAAACATTTGATTCAACACGATTACTCAAAAATAAAATATACTTTACTGTATTACTTTCATCGAAACAAAATTTTTTAACCAGTTACATCAAATAAAAATAGCGATTATTTACCTCGTGATTGTGTTCTAACTTTTGAAACACACACAGTTTTTAACTGTAGCGAAAAATTAAATTGGCCAGAGTGTCGTTAACTGGTGAAAGAAAATGAAGATTTAATGAAACAGCAGGTGTCGAACGACGATATTTAGAATTTGTATATTCTTCGGAACGCTCCGATGGGCTAAACAGGAGCCACAAGCAAAACGAAGAACGCGCAATCATGGTTAACACGAGCGGGAAGTTTGAAAAACTAACTTCGGGACCTCATTAAAATTAATGATGCCCTCGGTTTACGAAAATCGATGCGGCAGCCAACGCGTTAATAACTAAACGCGAAACTTTTAACGAAAGGTCAGTTTTATAAAACTTAATCGCACACATATTCAACATATATACGTATCGACGTTGTACGTACAGTTTCTATATATATATATAATTATATATGTATATAACATTACGCAATTTTTCACCGTTTAGTTCTCCCCTCCGTTCATTTTTCTTCCTCCGTTTTCAATATTTTCTTTTTTCCACGAGCTCATAACGTTCAACAACGTACATTACTGGACTTAATCGAGTAAGTGTAATGATAATAAAACGTGTAGTAAATATAATGTGTATGCATACACGTATGTATATAATATATATAATATATATGTATAATCTTCACATCGTGTACGTCGACAAAACCATTTAAATTGTTATCTAGTTAAACGTCGTAATTCGCGTTACGCTTTTCCCGCTAGATCGAAATTATTAATTAGGGTTATCGTATAATATTATTATTATCGTTATCGTTAATTAAATGTTTAGAAATTTGGCGCGTTTTCTTTTGGCGTGTGTCGTTTCGCGTCGATAAATTCGTCCGATTTTGAGCCATGGCGAGCGTATTATCTCTTTACGCCGCGGTGTCGCGCGTAATCGCGACCACCAATCGTTCCGCCCGAAATTTGTTATCGCGATGCGTGTGAACGATGAATCCTCCGCGTAACGATGACGGCGTAGAAACATCCGATGAGAACGCGAAACAGCGAACGTCGGTCGATTTATAATCTCCCTTCTCATCGAACGTCGAGTTTCGCGTGTCGTTCGCGGACAGAGTCCTATGGAAAATGGTTCCAGCTTTATACAAAAAGAGAAAACAACGACGATGACAACGATCGCGTTATGACTTATTCCGTTAATATTGTCCGTAAATTACATTCGTTACTATCGTTGAAACAATTTCTTCTTTCGCGTTAGGGGAACGAATGAATCGCGTAATAATCGAAAGCTGCTTCGACTTTTGTCGTGATCGGGACACATCGCGCCTTGTAAATTTGCTCGGGTGACGATCGGGTTTGCAATTAAAAAACAACTCGAATAGAAAAAGTCTTACAGCTTACGTTTCGTTATTTCGTTCAGGTTCGAAACCAACACAGGAAGCACTTTTCTCGATTATCGTGTGTTCGTTTAAAAAATTACCAGCGTCGTACCTTGCAAGCGAATAGGGGAAGGTTGTCGTGTTTGGACCGCGTCGATTGTTTAAATTAATTGATACCACTTACGATATTACGGTGGTCGATTTTACTTGGTGAAATTCAATTTGCATGAATTTCGCAATTATAGAAGATAATTTGATATTTTATATAATTATAATATACGTGGTAATTTTATAACATATAAGTGACACATTTTTTTGTAGTTAAATCGAACCTTGGTTGTTCAAATAGGACCTCCATTAGGCATTATTTTTTATTTCAATTCTTTCTCGATATTTCTTAACGAATTTCGGTGTTTCAAGTATTTCTGTGTCCTGTGCGTTAAAAGGGAGAGGAGTAAAGAGGTAAGGATGCAAAAATTAAATTGTTTATTTACGTTGGACTGGATATGAACCCATTAAAATATTCTTAATAATTTGCATATACTTCGTGCAATAGGAATCACAAGACACATAACAAGTTATAATACAAAACTCAATATTTCATCCACAACGATACGGCCCCATTTAAGCAACCAATCCCTCAATTACGACTCAATGACAAATTCTTTGTTCTTCGAAATAAATCGTAGTCGAAATTTACTCCAGGGAAATTTCATTTTCCGCCGTAATATCTGATAAATCTGTTACGAACAGTTTGCCAAGGATGTTGTCGATTTATTTCGTAAAAATGTCACGATCGAAAAAACTGTTTTTCCATTGGACCGAATACGAAGCTGGCGATACAATTCGTACGAAACTGTACGATATTTGTACCTATTAAAATATTCTTAATAATTCGCATATACTTTGTGCAATTGGAATCATAAGACACGCAACGATTTAAGCAACCAATCTCTCAATTACGACTCAATGACAAATTCTTTGTTCTTCGAAATAAATCGTGGTCGAAATTTACTCGAGGGAAATTTCATTTTCCGCCGTAATATCTGATAAATCTGTTACGAACAGTTTGCCAAGGATGTTGTCGATTTATTTCGTAAAAATGTCACGATTTGAAAAATTGTTCAAAGTGGTCCATATTTGGGTCAACCCTCCCCTGTTCCGGGGTACGCAAGATTACACGAATCGAGCAGAGTTTACTTAAAGACGAGAACGTAATTAATACAATTAAGATCGGAAGAGGACGCACGAGTGCTCGCCGGAGAAGCGTGAATCGAGAGCTTCGTGCAAGTTCTCGACGTTTCGTGTTCGTTGGGCGAAGTTTGCGGCCATGCGACCCCGTACTCCGTAAGCGAGGGAATGTTCTTCGTTAAGTTCCTTGTCGATTCGATTCGTCTTCGACTCGCGGTTCACGTGATCCTCGTGCCCGCTCCGTAACGGATCCAACGACCGCGCGATGGATCTTCGACGTTTGGATCACCGTTGGGTTCCCGATGTAGCAAAGTGGACTAACGGAGGGCCGATTCCGGAATGTTTACGCAACGGTTGGCTGCTACTGTATGGAACATGTCAACGGATGCGACAGAGCGTGGTCCAGCAGAATCGGAGTGCCCGCAGCCAATTCCGTTCTCGCGTCGCCGCAATCGTCGTCGCAGTCGAAATAGTTGCTCTGAAAAAGAAACGAGAAACTCTGTTACACAAAGGTACAACAACGGAGGATAACATTTTCTTAATTTTCTATTTTTATTTTTGTTGCTTGGATACCATATGACATTCCAAACACGTTCTTATATTTCTCGAATCTGTTTTGCAAAATTTAAGAAACAGAGATGCTCGAAGCAATTTCCCAGGAATACTGTTAGTTTGAAAGCTTCAGAACCAAAATGAACATTCCATAATTCCAAGCAAAATAGCTGGTCCTGAAACTTCTTTGTCGGAAAACTCTGATAATTAATGGTCGAAACTTGGTGTCATCGAAAATCTCATGTCAGAATGGACTTGGAAGATCGATAGTAGATCGCTCTGGTTCAACGTCCAGCCGATGTCGAAACGGTACGCCTGTATCGCGAGCAACGAGGGAGCTCGAAAGCTAAACGTTAATTTCTCGTCAAGCTTTTTGCACGAGGTACCGTCGACAGGAGAATCGTTTCATTACAATTCCGAAATCCCCGTGTAATCGCGAGCGTACACAGCAATCTCCGCGAGACAGCAATTACAAAGATCGCCGGATAAGCGATAAAATTTTTAATTAAATTCGGACACCCGTTTCCATCTTCTCCGTTTCATTTCCATCCATTAGCGTGCTCGAATGGTCACGGCGGCGAACCCATGTATCTCTGATTAAACGGGGACCAGGCGAATGTTTACGAGTGACCGGAGAAAAAAGAGAAACCCGATGGCCGGGAAACACTTGGTTCGTGGTATAATTGGCGCGCGAAGGTCAACCGATTAGATCTTAAATCGGGACAATGTTAGCTTAATTTAGACGATTATCCTCCCTGATTCGCGCTAATTGCATGCACGGCACGAGCAGTCCCGTAAATGGATGCAATTACACATCGAAGCACGGACTGGCTCGCCGTTGGAAGATTAGAGGTTGCTGCCGGAGAGAATTTAATTCTTTTCTCAGTTTTTTGCGATCCGAGCCGGGCTCGTTCTGCTGGGATTTCAGGGTCGTTGCCGAAGAATAAAAAGAAACGCCCCCGTTTTGCACGGTATCCTCTTCTGGATCATTTGTACGAGTCGAATTCCCAGAAATTGAACATCCCCAACTATCCACTGGGAGCCTCGAATCCCGAAAATGGCGGACGGTCTCGTTTATTCAAATGGGAGGGGGGATTCTCATACTTTTCATAATTATAAATGAAACTTGCCATTGAATTAGAAATCTTCGATGTACTCTAGTTTCGAGCATTATGCAAACTTTTATCCTGCTTGGTAGAAATTCTACACGCCATTTTTAAAAAATCCAACTCTCATAATCTAAAGTAAACAGCATTCGAAGAAGAATCAACTCTGTTTCCTTGTAAGCCACGAATACTCGTATCGATCAAATGTGTCCTATTTTTGACAAATACAAGTTTCAAAGTGTTTTGACCCCTTAAGGATAGGTGACGCCCACCTGGCAGTCGATGCATCGGCAGCTGTCAGTCAACGAACAGGTGAGACCGAGGATCTCGACGGCCTCTTTGTACAGTTCCGCGCTCGACTTGCGTTGCCTCGGCGGCGAGGTCGGTGCACTGACTATGCCGCTACCCGATGGTCTTCTGCCGCTCTTCAGCCTCGAAGAGGACTCTCGAGACAAGGAGGAGGTCGACGTCGATCTTCTTGGCCGATTGTCACTGGTCAGCAACGCTCGACCGGCTGGCGAGGCGAACAGTTGCAGCATGTCCATGTCCTGCGGTCGAACATGATCGTTAGTTGCTGTTGATCTCATCGATAACGTTAACCCTTTGACGTACGATTCAATGTAACTTTTCAAACGTATACTATTCAAGTTTATTTAAATTTGTTTTATGAATACCTCGTCAATGTAAAAATGTGCTGATTTTAATATACAGGACTTTCGACCACCCCTAGGACTAGGAAAAATTTCAATGAGAGATTCTGGAGGCCAAAACAAGACGAAAATCAAGAATAACAATTTGTCGATCGAGGCTTCGTTAAAAAGTTATTAACGTTTAAAGTTCCGCCTGTAGAACCACTAGCAGCTATTCGCAGATTGCCGTTCTACAGGTGGAACTTTAAACGTTAATAACATCTTAACGAAGCCTTAATCAAGAAATTGATATTCTTGATTTTCGTCTTATTTTGGCCTCTAGAATCTCCCGTTAAAATTTTTCCCAGGGGTGACCGAACACCCTGTACAAGACTTGATGACGAGCGAGTAGCTTCATGATTATGAAACTTGATATTAAGAACTTGTAACGAGTCAGACTCGTCATTGTACGGCAAGAGGTTAAAACTACATATATTAAATCTTAACAGGCCGTTAGACGCTACGGATTATACGATATTAATACTTTCTAAGATTCTTTGGCGACTTTGACGAACGTGATATTCGTGAAATAAATCACCGTTTCAGGTGGTGTTGCTTTCCATCCGCGTCGATGGCCAGAGACGATCTCGTCAACAAAGCTCTCTACGGAGGCGGCTGATTAGCCTTTGTCGAAGGTATTCGTTGTCGTTTTCGCGTTTCTGCTCGGTCGAGTCTCGTTAGTTTACAGGTGGAGGGCGGGGGAGGATCGCGTCGCGCCGGAAGGGCATTATTCTCTTAACGAGGTAAGACGTACTCACGGGTGGGCTCGTCCTTCCCGCTGTCTCATTCGTTTCATATCGGCGAGAGAACTCTCTTTGAGACTTTCCACCGCGAGGACGCCCCGGGGCGAAAGGGATTTTCTAACGATGCTGCGACGAGCACCGCGACGCCAAAAGGTCTGCACCTTCTCCCCTTTCTTGAATGCGACAAAAAAAGCATCCAAAGGAGAACGTGACGAGGCCTTTGCACGCGGGCTCGTACAAAGACACGCTTTCCCTCGTTTTTCGACCTACTTCCGTTCAAGTTCTTTGAGTCGCGTCGACCGGTCACGAATTTCAGAACGATTTAAATTACGCACGTTAATCGTGGGACCCCTTTGTCGAAAATAAAGAGCACTGTTTCTCTGACCCGATTAACAGATTGGATGCGAACGACTTCGCGTCTGTCAGTGGGGATGTCTCTAGGAAGCTTCTGAGATTGTTACTTTAAGCACCGTATGCAGTGAATCTTAAGCGTTTTATTATAGCATCGATAATGCATCTTGTTTTGTTTTCTTTCTTTATGAACATCGATAATGACGGAGTTTTCTAAATGTTGAAAACATCGAACTAAGAATAAGTCAGATTCGTGACGATTAAGAGATCATGGGGGATTGTTTTCCTTTTAGAAAATCCAAAATTTCATAGATTGCTAGGCTACCTTGTGTGAGATTTTCGGGTACAGATACGAGGGTTGAGTTGTCCCTGGCCATGGATGATGAAATTTCACGCGTGCAATGTGCAGCGTGCTTAATTATCGGCGCCGGATCATTAAAAACCACCCCTCGTTGTCGGAATACCACGATACGGAACAAACGATCCTGGTTAACGCTATTGTAATGCGAGCCCGGAGATCGTTTCGCTGGAAGAAAATAATTGGAACGATCCCCAGCATGTGTACGAGGAAACTTTCTACGAAGACGCGACGATTTCCCTGGACTCTTACGACGATTCGCCGGGTTATTATAAATATTCAATGACCCGTGATATCGCGAATCGTTAACAATACGCGAGAAGAATATTTTTAATAATGATATTATAGACATTGTAACATAGTAGAAAAAGTATATACGATTAAGAATGTTTTTTACATAATTTACCGATAGGAGAAATTTACATCGAAACATTTTTTGTATCATCAATAATTTTGTCGATATTCGATTGGGTCGATTTACATGGGATTGTAAATATAACTGCATAATGTATTTCAATACCTAACATTGATAGAACTTAATCTCAATTTATGGTAGGAGGATTTTGTAATAATTCCGTGTAACTGGAAATCGTGTAAATCGAGATTACCATTTTACATAGAAAATTCCAATCTGGCATTCGTTGCTATGCAATATAAAACGAGTAATTTACTTTCACGTTTGTCGCGTATATTCTTCCATACGAAGCACTCTTTACAGATTCGTGCAACGGTTCGATACAAAATTTATTAAAATTAATTTTTATTTTTAATCTTCCGTGCTTCTCAGATAGGGAAACCAAAGATGTGTTTGTCACTTTTTTCTACACCATTTAATATTCAACGTGACCTCAGAATTATTATATAACCGAGAAAATCGGTATGCTGAAGCAGCCGTTTCAATTGATTAATGTAAATTGCATACATATTGCGTGAAGTGACAGTTGGATTCACGATCGTTCAACAAATCTCGAAGCCATAATCCCAAGTGCCAATACGCCAATGCACTAAGTTAACCAATTCTGTGGCGCGTAAAGGACAAGCTGTTATTAAGGTAAAACGTACGGATCGATTAGATGTACGTAACTGGTAATGAAATCACTGTCATCTTAAATTTCATTTCATTTAAATTTTTAACCCAAGACTAATTTTACCTTCTCTCCTCAACACGTTACGTCAGTATTTTTTTATAGTCTATTCATTATCTAGATAGGTCTTTCTTTTACGAAACGAAACTGTGTTTAATTTGAGCTGAACAAAGGTTTTTGCTTGCTAAATGACGGAGTGGACACCTATTTAGTCAGGTGTCACTGTTACGCGACAAATACAATTCCAATACACGATAATACTTACATGAACAGTTGATTTCTATAAAAAGAATATTATCCTCCGATCGTATCTTAGCGTGGAAAAGTGCTACAGCTTGTCCCAGTTTACAGAACCGCCGAAACGAAAATTGTCGATCGAGACTTTACGCGTGCAAATATCTATCGCCGGCGATATCGCGCAACGAAATCGAACAATTTTCAATCAGCCACGGCGATAGGGTTTTTCATTAATTCAAAAAACAATCGCCGCGCTGGGGTACCCTCGTTAATTAATCGAGCATCGCGCTCGTCCCTGACGCTACATTATTAAACATCCATTCGCTATCTCATGAAACGAAGCTGTCGAGAACCTGCGTCGACTGAGCTGTTTTACTTTAATCATCGCGGTCTCGTTGTTCCCTCGAAATCACGGCTGCGGGATCGCGCGATCGAAAGGAGCACCGAGAAATCCGCGAGTTAAAAGCTCTTTTGCTCGACGAGGTCGGGACTTTCGAACTATCGCCGGCCATAAACGTCTACGGGAAAGCAAGATGCACTTTCAGAGTGTGTTCTGTAACCTGGAACCTTCGGCGGAGAGCGTTCCGGAGCTTAACGCACGCTCGAACGTTTGCTTGAAAAGGATCCGAGAATGGTAAGTGGAACGGCACTGGATTCAATGGCTGGTCCGGAGTTTGCCAAAGTTTATTCGTTACACCTGTTCGTTAAGCACTTTCGGCTAATCTTCTAGATTTCTGTCGATCCCCTGGACCCTTGTTCGTTTTACAGAGCCCGCAAGCTAACGGTGGGATCCTCCGTTACCGAATGATGGAAGTTTATTAAAAGAACTATCGTTCCGTGAACAGCGATAACCATAACCTTTAGCAGACATTTAGAATGAATTTCTTGCACGAAATGACCAGAGAGATTCTGAGGCTCGAAACGAGATAAAAATTAACAATAACGAAATCGCTTTGGAGGCTTCCATTTCGAGACAAATGCGTTTAAGAATTATCGTTAAAAAGTTAGTAAAAAATTAAATTAAAAAATTTCAAATCATTCTGAAAAAATCATTCTTGGTTGCGGGGGTCAATTACAATTATTTTCGGTGAATACACATACCCCCGAAATCCTACCCACTTTCGAGAAAAAAATTGGAGTAGGTGCTGAAATTTTTCGGCGAAAAAAATTTTTCAAATCGTTCTAAAAAAATTATTTTCGATTGCGGGGGTCAATTATAATCATTTTTGGTGAATAGACATACCCCCGAAATCTTACGCACTTTCGAGAAAAAAAATTCCTTAACGAAAATGTAATGTCTGACCATACATTGATATGTTTCCCTGAAATTTTCTGGTGAAAAAATAAAAATTTCAAATCGTTCTGGAAAAATTATTTTTGGTTGCAGGGGTCAAATATAGTCATTTTTTATGAATAGATGTATCCCCGAAATCCTGCGCATTTTCGAGAAAAAAATTCAGTACGGACGGAACTTTAAACGTTAATAACTTTTTAACGAAGCCTCCGTCAACAAATTGGTATTCGTGATTTTCGTTCTATCTTAGTCTCTAGAACCTCCCATTATAATTTTTGTCAGGGATGGTCGAACACCCTGTTTACAGACGATGATATTCTCCCTCTACGAGCAACGCGAGAGGTTAATATTTGGCTCGTCCAGTCAAACTTCAAGTCGCTCGGGCACGAACTTTTTGGTACCGATTAAAGTTTCATGAAACTGCCAGCGATTTCATGGTGTGGCCGGACAAGCACGGTTAAACTGGACGCGTTTGGAAACATATTGGGCAGGAAACGCGTCCGGGGCAGCAGTTTGTACAGACTTCGAAACGAAGAAACTTCGACGTGGCGGCCGCAGGAATTCCCAGCATGAAAAAGTCATGGAATTCACTACGTGGGAGCCCTATTCGGTGGCGTGATCAATCTTTAATTACTCGGCGGTGGAAAGGTCGAACGTTTTAATTATCGATCACGAAATTGGAATATATTAGGTCACTTGATAGGTATCATCGTGGTTCCAATTATAACGTCTGTTCGACGTAAACAAACGTAGAAACTGATATCGAGCTATGACAGTTACCTTGTATCGAC